ACCTAAACCTGAAGTGTGTGTGTGTGTGCGTGCGTGCGTGCGTGCGTGCGTGTGTGTGTGTGTGTGTGTGTGTGTGTGTGTGTAAGAATGTTTCCTCCCACTCTTATCCCCCTGAGTCTAATTTCTTTCCCAGCGAGTGACAGGCGTCACCCCGGCCTTGTGCTTTAACCAGGGCCAGATGTAGATGTGACAATAGAGAGCCACAAAGGGAATGCGAACCCGCCCTCCTCCCACCGTCCTTATTTATTTTCCTTACATGACTTTATTCACGTGTTGAAAAGTGTCTGCGAGTCAGCGGTTCAGATTTGTGGACGTCCTGGCCGAGTCAGCTGTTATTGACAAAGACATTATTATGAGGAAATGAACAAGGAGGAGGCCCCACTGTTTGGAATAGTCTCACTGCAAAATTGAAAAAGAATTGTGCACAAAAGCACATTGTGAAACGGAATACCTGCTTTGGCGGGAGTTCATTTTTTCCCCCCTCACTTTTGGCTAAATTTAAAAAAAAATCTCGGTTTCATCTATGATGATGATAAACGTTGAGCGCGCTCATTTTAGGTGTCGCTCCTAATAAAAACAGGGATGAATGGGACTGTCTGTGTCGCTGGCTGATTTTCTAAACTGTTATACTCAAATACTGTTCGACTAATGCAGTGTGTGTGTGTGTGTGTGTGTGTGTGTGTGTGTGTGTGTGTGTGTGTGTGTGTGTGTGTGTGTGTGATTATAATAGCAAAAAGCTTTAGTAAAGCAATTTTCAGTATTTCTTCGACAATCTGAACCATTACTTCACTGAATTTAAGTGTTTAACTTAATTGACTTTTATCCTCAACAGTGTTTAAGAGCATTTTTTAATGAGGTAGAATATACAGTATTTCTTGCTGCTTCAGTCTTAGCCCTAATACATTAATTTCAAAGCTAAACAAATACTCTCCTGAGTGATCCAAATTTGTCATTGCAATAATCTGACTATCAATTAGGTTATTCACGCTTCCCAAAAATTGAACAGCTGTAGACATCCAGCCTTCTTTTTCATAAGGTGTGGGAGTGAACAGAAGATCAGTCAATCATTCAGCGCACAGATTTATCTGAAAATGACTTTCAGGCCTCTCCAAACCCCAGTGAGTGAAGTGAAAATTGTCTGCTCACTGCCAGGCAAACGGCGAAATATTTTTATTCCTCCAAATGTTATTAACTGCATTTTAGTGGCAAAGGTTAGACTCACACTGTACTGCCGCATGTATCTTTGTCAACAAGCTGCGGGTGCGCATTTTCTTTCAAAAGGTCTAGTTTTTTTTATTATTATTATTATTTTTTTTTTTGTGAAGCAAAACCTACAAGAAACAATTCCATTAAGAGAAGACAACAAAGGACACCCTCTGAAACAATAATTAGAGTTCAGTTCTGCACAGAGATGCAGGTGGGAACAAGGGTGATGGAATACAAGCTATTGAAAAGGCACAAGTCTGAATTATCTTTTTGTCTCACTAAGCAGTAAAAGCAAAAGAAAAAAACTGATTGAAGATTGAAGAGTTCGGTAAAAGCACTAATTAAAGGACAAACTTCTCTCTGTGCCTCCATTTTCTTTGCTTTTGAAACTTCACTTAATTTCAAAGGGTACAGTATAATGGCCAAGGGCAACAACGTACTCAGACATCAGATTTATTGAGAGGCTTGACAATATGGGATGAACACGCACAAAACCATTTTTCTCACAGTTAAGCTCTGCGCTGAAGCTTTCAGACTCATCACCTTCGTGAATAGAGGCTTGATGCAATATTAGTATGCAGGTTTGGCAAACAAAGACACAGTGCCCACTGTGGGCTATCAGCAGCTTGTGTTGGGTTCCGAATTAACTTGTAACTCACTTTGTCCTTTACATCTTTTATATTACGCAGGGTTGTTCCCCAAGTTCCTATAACTGTTATCTGAAGTATGTCTGAGTTGTGTGAACATGCAGCTACTATTTCAAACGCCACAGTTTTTAGGAAACCAAACAAGTAAAGACAAAAATTATTATTATCATTATTATTATGATGATGAATGATTTACACTGAAATGTATGAAGGGCCCTCTAGAAAATATTAAATTCAAATATTACACTGTGTTTGTTCCTTGTTCTTCAGCGATGCAGTTTGATATTACAATTGTGAAGGGCAGCACAGTGGAGCAGTGGTTAGAGCTGTCGCCTTTCAACTCGCAGGTTTGCATGTTCTCTTTGTACAGATGTGTGTTTTCTCTAATTATTTTTGATTTCCTCCCATAGACTAAAAACATGCATGTTAGGCTGGAATACTAAATTGTTCCTAGGTGTGAATGAGCCTGGCCCTTGCCTTCCTACAGAGTTCCGCTCAATTCTAGTTTCCTTCACTGCTCCGTCTGGGACTTCTCCCACAGACAAGGATTTATTCTGGAGAATTTTCATCCGGGCCAATCAGAGAACAGAAAGCAGAGTTTTGAATGACAACGTCGATTTGTGTCTGCTAGTTAGTTTAGCAATGTCAGTGGAGGAAGTGAATGAAGCCAGTCTGTGTTGATAAGGCTTCCAAATTAAATTAAATTTGTCTGACAAAGCAGCAGCTCTCATTTACAGTCGTCTCGTTCAGCTCGGTACTTCTCTCCTCTCAGTAGGATTGGTTACAGTGCACATGCAATTTCCAGTTAGCTTCTTAGCTTAGCCTCCTTCACAGTGGAGCTGGCATGCACACGTCGCGGCAAACCGATCCAATCATTTTAAATTTCAACTGAGGCCACGCCTCCAGCAAGAATCACTTCTCTAAAGCCGAGAGTCCAGACCCTCAAAGTGAAGGACAAGGGTTTGGTTTTACCCAGGCATGAATAGGAATGATTGTAAATGTTAAATGATCTGTACTAATCTGTGCCCTCACCCATTCATACAACACTCTATCTCTCTGCTAAATTAATCCAGATAAGTCATTTTATAGAGACAAATACTGTATAAGCTTTAAGTCAGTGGTTCCCAAACTTTTTGTCTTCTGACCCACAAAATATCCATGGCAAAAACTTGTGACCCCAAATCTTACTGGTCTGAGTACATGAACTTCATTAATAACCCCAAAACACAGGCTTTTTGACAATCTAAACAGCTTATAAACAAATATAAATACTTATTTTTACTTAGTTTGTGTTTTTGTAATAATTATAGGGAAACTACTACATCAGCAATTATTTTATTACCCTTTAAATTGATTCCTGGAGATTATCCAAGGTGCTTCATGACCCATAATTGGGTCCCAAGCCCAACTTTGGGAACCAAAGTGCAGTGGTTCCCAAACTTTTCAGCTTTTGACCCATAAAATAACAGTAGCAGAGACCTGTGCCCCCAGTTATTTTTGGGTGATAAACATTTGTATCAGGTCAACGAAACATGGGCACAGTAACAATATTTTTATACTACATTTATCCATTTTAAATATACTGACCTCACTCCTTTGTTAACAACTAAGGCAAAAATGTAATTAATTCAGAAAATATTTTCAGGACCCCACCTTGATGTTTTGGGACCCCACTTTGGGTCCCGACCCCAACTTTGGGAAACACTGCTTTAAGTCACACTTAATACCTTGATGAGTCACACATCTGAGGCAGTGGGGGTTTTGTCTCTTGCACAGGGACACTTGGGCATGTGACTGAATAGTGGTAGAATCAACTCTCTCATTGGAGGACTCCCCCCTAACCACTCAGCCAGCCGCCCCATTGTTTACGTGTCCCTGTGTTGGACTTGCAACCTGTCCAGAGTTTACTGCACCTTTGGCACGGTGACTGCTGCTGAGAGGCACCAACTCCCTGCTACCCAGAATGGAAAAGGGGTGGGTATACTGTATATGCCAACTGGGAAATCCAAAATAAAGTTAGGTGTGTGTGTGTGTATACAGTTATCTGTCTCTTTCTGTTGGCTCTGTGATGAACTAGTGGCCCATTTAGGGGACTCCCACCCACACACCTGCCCACACACCTGCATGCAAATTTCAAGATATTGGCGCCATCTCCTTGTAACCCTAAACAGTGTTCAGCAAGAAAATGAATAGCACCAAGCACTGCAGTTTTTTACAGAAAATTGTGGCTTTTAACGATAATACTATTTACGACTAAAACAAGCGTCATTTAACTTGAACTCTTTCTTGAAAATTATATGCTATCATTTCATTAGTCCAGAATTATTTCCATCTGAATCAAGGTGAGGTGCATTGGAAAATGTATACATTTTCACTCCTCTGACTGTTGAGCACCTAAAACCTTTAAGTCCATTAAATACAGTAAAGTGTTGTTGACCTAATACCATATCTGTTACTTTTACTTATTGTTGTTAGACTCTAGCTTTATGGTTGGATGCTCTTCCTGTGCATGTGTGAGTTTTCTTTGATTACTCCAATTTCCTCCAATAATCCAGAAACATGCATTTTATGTTCATTGAAGTTTAATAATGGACCTTAGATTTTAGTGTGAGTGTTGCTTGGGGTTTACCCCAGAGGTTTATCCCACAGCTTGCACATTTACAGTTGAGTTAAACTGGGTTCACACTTTGATTTTAAGCATCTTAATTTATTTTTTTAGTTGTAAAAGAATTATAAGAAATGGTTTTGCGAAAATCTAACCAGGTTGAGTCAGGTCCTCTGGATGGGTTCTTCTTTGAGGAAATATAAATTGTGGCCACATGCTGAAAGGATGGCCCAGCACAGAAGAGCAACATCATCAGACCAAGACTCTGCAGTTTACACTCATCTGCTGGCCAGTGGTAGCTTTTTCAGGAAAATGTTTGCATCCTTGAAATGGAGGTATGCTGGTTTGAGAGAGGAGTGAAGAAAGCCATAAGAGAAACTGCCCATTGTTAAACAGGGATGGAGACCTCTGAGTCCACATGTCCCCCTCTTATAATGCTGCTACTGCTAGGATGACCAAGCTCTCTGTGAACAACTAACGACTATCAGGGCACTCACGATTGGTCGTTGGGCGAACGGGCTCCTTTTGCATGTGAACAAACAGTTTTGGGTGTAAAACTAGTTGATCCATGCAAAGGTACTGCTTATAAGAATGATTTTACCTGCACTCCTCAGACTGAGGAAGTCTTTTGAATAAAAGATGAAGTGTTTCAACAAAAAAGAACCTGTCCAGAAGACCTGACTCAACCTTGTTGAGTTTTTCCACCTGGGTTATTGAGAATGCATCAGGACACGTTTAATGAAAAATATTTCAGGGTGACAAGACCACTGACCAAATTCATCCAAGCTAAATACAAGTTTATCTTATGATTTGTTTCTATCACTGTGATAAAATTGTAACAAAGATTAAAAATTAAACATTTAGAATGATAAAATGTATGTTTTTTCTAGTGTACAGTATAGCACAGAATTAATATACTGTGAGCAAATAAAAGCCACGTCTAACCTAGTCTATGTATTTTATAAAATATGTTTTTTTCTTCTGTTTCTACAATTTTTTTGTTCACGCACAAAAAAAAAACATAAGGTGGTGAGAAACTCTACATTAAAAACATAATTATGCAGAAAAAGAACATGCTTAGTTCATCCAAAGAAAGTTTCATATTTTATTCTTACACTATTTCCTCTTTGTTAATAATTTTAGCACAGAGTCAAACCTCAGTGACAGTGTTGGGATAAAGTAAGAAAAATGCAGAACAAACCAGTAAAAACTGCTTGATTATTGTTATGGTTTCTAGAGAACAAAATGATAATTTACCTGCTTAAAATAGGCTGCTTCACCATTGTTTCTAAACAAACCTCGATCTTTCTTTCAGAAGAGTTTTTACAAACCTCTCCTCTCTTCTGTTTTCTGTCTCCTCACAGATATGCTAACGCACGACTTAGCTACTACTTTGAGAAGAAGGAGGAATACTTTGGATTAACATCAAGCCGGTTAACCTGCTCCACCTGTGAAGAGAATCCCTGAATAATGGGACCCATATTTCTTTGTCATGTTATGATGGTATATAACCTGAAAATGGCCTGTAAAGTGTTTCCCCCTTGTTTGTTGTTCCATTCTGTAAAAAGAGTTTATGCATTTTGTTAAATCTCAAATATTTGTCTTACCACAGTCAATATGCCAATAAGCTTTTTTGGCAATTTGTGACAAAGATGCTGCCAGAAATGAATTAATTGTCCTCGCAGCCAAGTTGCATAAAGCCACAAAAACTGAGTCTGATCATAAAAACCATAAGAAGGTTATTTGTGGGCTGATTGAGTTTGTACCGCAGCTCTAATGAAAAACATTTTATATTGCAACTTATTTACTGTTAAAAGTTGTTTGTTATCTGAAACCTTTCTCTTTCCCCAGAAAATGTTTTAGAACTGCTAGTGCCTTTTAAGAAGTTACCATTTTAAGTTTATTTGCCATTTTTAAATTAATTTCACTAGAGTTTTCTAAAACTTATAACGGACTTATTAGCATTTTATCATGTTTTGTTCAGATTCAATGAAATTTAGAAAAATCGTACAAAAAACAAGCTTTCGGACTTTTGAAAATTTGTTTTAAGTAAATATTTTACAGATTGCTGCTCAGTAACTCAAAACAGTGATCCTGTGGTTTTGCTTGGATGCGCCTAAAACAAAACTTCAACCTCAAACAACAGTTCCGATTTCTGAAGTGTGGTTCTGTGATAATATTCTGAATAATGACTATCTTACCTGTTGTAGATAACTCTTTGAATCACATAAACTGGTAAAAATGGTCTTTAATTCTGATTGTATACAATCAAAAAACAGATGTGTTCCTCTCAACGTGAAACCAATTGACACAGTTTTTAATTAAATCCACTGCATCTGATTATTTTATTTTATTTTATTTTTTTGAGTGTAGAGTGAGTCCAGAATCAAAGTAGATTGCTGAAAAATAAAACAAAACCAATCTCAACAATTTCATAGGTGTGTGATA